AAATGTATCTACTCTTTATCATAATAAATAATTGCCTCTGAATTGAATTATTACTGATTTTAGTAATAACTGAAGACTTAAGCTGTGAAGGGCAGGTGCAGACTGGCAGAGAGTCCCCTCTCACATACCTGTAGCAGATGAAGTCTGAAAAGGAGTCGCACAGCACTGGTATTATCTCCAACTTGTGCTGCTGCTGGGAAGAAGCTGGGGGAGGAGCTGCAGGAGATGTGTGAGGGCCACATGAAATGGCTTAGAGGGCCACATTGGGCCTTTGGGCCTTGTGTTTGACACTTGTGGCATAGAGTATACACAATGAACACATGACACACACAATAGTATGAGCATTTTCCATGATACAAACTGGAAGGCAATACTGTAAAAAGTTCTACTGAAAGAATAGTTCAGACTTTGATGGTGCTGAAAAGATTAAGCTGATTTTCATACTAGAACATTTTGGTTATGTTCATATATAATTAAGAGCAGATTCAGTTGTGAACCTAAAATCATAAAAGAAAAACAGAGCATAAGCTATAACATACAAACTATACAGTTTCACATATGTCTGTAGTCAAATGTGGCTATAAAAAGTAACAAGTACTTTACTGTACTATGCAGGTGTGATTACCTTTTGCCCACTTTTTATTGTGTACACTTTTTACAGTAAACGACTATATGTGTCTGTACAGCCTCTACATGCAGTCCCCAGGTTACAAACAAGATAGGTTCTATAGGTTTGTTCTAAAGTTGAATTTGTATGTAAGATTATTTTTATGTTTTGGATAGAATAGGGAAGTGTTAACTGGCCATGCAGTGATGTGGGATTGCTGACAGGTCTGCCGGACAGTAGGTGGCAGCATACGGTGATCAGCAATACGGTCACCATGCGGTTTTTTACGGGACCAGAGTGATGTCACGCTGAATCTCTTATAAAGTACAAATCGCATGTACGTCAGATGTTTGTAACTCGGGGACTGCCTGTATTGTGTGATAGCCCTGCATACTTTGAATGTGACTGTCTGTATGTGTGGCACTTTGAATGATATATGACACTGATGTTATTTATTTATTTCTGAATTAAATGCATTTTTATTGATTGTTCATTATACTGAATAGGGCAATTGATTTGTAATATTTAAGATTTAAAGGGACAGTGCACTTTTTCTTTCTATGGTTAATCAAAGGATTAAGACCTGTTTCAGACTTCCTACCACCAAGGGATTGGATTAGATATGGTAATTGGAACAAGGTGTTTCCACAATCTTTCACACCTTCCATCCTGTTCTTGGACAATCATTATCTTCCTTGTCACATTCCTTGGTGATTGGATTAATAGGCTGTGTAACACGTGTAGCTATAAATGCGTACCTGACACTTATTGAAACTGAAGATGTCATTTTGATAAGCTGTGAAACATCTTCAACTCTGTGAACAACTGAATTTTTTTTTCCATTTCTTCATTTTCCCAAAAAATATGACAAAAAATTACAGCTTCAAAAAACTTGCCATGCCCCGTATTACATACTTTGGACGGTCTACTTTCCAAAAAGGGGTAATTTGGGGGATATCTGGATATCTGGGATATATAATACATGTCCTGTCATTTTTGGGCCTCAAGAAATGAGATTGGCTGTCTGTGCCGTACTGTATAAGACCATATGTTTCCATGATCCTTAGACAGTTTGCAAGAGGCTAAGGGTACCTAAATATCTTTAGTCATTTTTTAACTGTAAACAGTAATGGTATGAACATGTAGTAGCAAATAGCAAACAGTCTGAAATTTATAGAAAATTCAGCTCTGATAAGTAATAGTTAGGTACTTGTATATAATTTATTCAGCATTTTGAAAAGCTTGGGAGCCTCTTAAATTAAGGTACTCTGATTTTCCATTTTCAGCTATTGTGGAGAAATCTAAGTGTTGTCCTACCCTTCCCGCAACTCCCTATTGGTTATTAAAGTAATGAGAAGGAGGTTGTGGGAAGTGTGATTGGCAACCCATTACTTTTTCGGTAAAAAGTGAGATAATAATATCAGGGCAATTTTGATTTAAGGAAATCTAGGCACTAATGACACTGGGTAAAGAATGTGCAAGCAACTGAGGGTGCATCACACTGTAGCTACTACTTTACAGTATTGCAGTAAAGGAAAGGTTTGGTTTAGCCCTTTAAATGTATTGGATTGCACTATGTCACAGCAAATAAAAGGTTACAATAAGCTCAGAACCAAGAGTCTCTAGGAAATTTCATAAGCCAACCTTTTACTACTTAGTAGAGGTGATTGGGGGGGCTGTCACCTCCTGGTCCTGGCACCCACCTGGCTTCTCCGTGAGCTCAGGAGCTGTTGGCTGCCTAAGGATGGGTAGTGGATGAGCTTGGTGAACTACCATTTGCCAATCTCCCCTTGCCTTGAAAACTGAGATACTCTAATAATGTCCAGGTTTAGACACTCAGTATATGATGTTCTGGTAACAATGACTGGTTAAGATGTAGTTCAGAGACACTGATCAGGGGCCACACATGCCGGAGGTTGAATCACCTCTCACCATCACTTAAATTAACTTTAAACTAATGAGCTGTAAAGTGTTTTTTTTAAATTTACAATCTTGGCTGCTGTAGATTTCTTGGAGCTTTTGCAAGCACTTGCAATTCTGAAGCTTGATATATTTGGTATTTATTAACTTAATACATTATTATATCCATATACAAAACCTGGGCTGAAATTCAAATATGTGCTACAAATAATAAATATAATGTTGAAAAGTTCACAATCTTTCAATGTAACCATGTTTCATTAACCACACAAAGAATGTCCCTCATTAAATGGATCAACCACCCTTGTTCAGCTAAATTATCAACAGCGCAGCGTTGCATGTGCTCTGAACTTAACATCAGAAAGGCTCACTCACCAAATGGGATGGACCTCAAAATATAAAGGTCAGATGTGACATATCACCATTATCTTGAGATTTCTCAAATAAAAAAACATCCAGAAAGAAATACTAAATAATTTCATAAAGGATCTCTGCTCCATCAATGTGGGAGGGATACAAACATAAATTTTATTATACTGAGTGCCTGATAACACACCTATTACATAAAATGCTCATACATTTCTATTATATGCAATACTTCATACCTATGTGTAATGCGCAGTGCCTTGTACTTCTGTAGTATACACAGTGCATCATACTTCTCTATTACATAATACATGTCATATCTCTGTTACATGTAATACTTCATAACTATTGAGCAAAGTGCCTTGTACCTCTAAATTACAAATGACACAAACACATATAGTACCTCTCTTATACACAGTGCATTTTTCTATTTTCCTTAATCTATTCATGCAGAGTTACTTCCTAATTCAGTATATTGATACAAACAGTTCTGATGTGAGTTATTCTGGCCACACAGGTATACAAATCTTTGGGCTTCAACAAAAAGGCTAAGCCCTGGCCTAACAAAAAGGTTTAACTTATCAAAACAATGTTTCACACAACCTCATCCATCAGCCTTCCACCTGCCTTTAGATTTCTGGACAAATCTCTCTACGTTTAGTAGATTTTACAGCCATATTGTAACGTCAACCCTGTTGATAAACTAATAATCCAAAGTATTGAAAGTGTATCTATTGCTAATTCATTTTCCACCCTTTATAAACTAATTCCTGAGTTATCTCCTGGCTATATTTTTGGATGTTGTGGGGAAGCCGTGGGGGCTGCCAAGGTTTCCTGCTGTCCTGGACTCCATTAAAAAGATTCCCTTTCTGTTCTGGTGACACAATTTCTCCAGATAGGAAGTTAGGGAAACTCTCCATTGGTAACACAGACAGAAGGTAAAATCCCTTTCTTCATGTTACAGAAGGCAATGCTAGATCCCCTGAAATATTTGTAATTGTTGTTTGTTTTTCCCTGTTGCAGATTTTCCCTCACTTCCTGTTTGTTAATATGGAGTTACCAGCACAGGAAGTGATGGGAAATCTCTCTCGAACGGTAAGCAGTAAAACCTAACATGGTTCTTAACCTTCCCCTCTCCATCACAACTAGAAAAAAAACTTTATTAAATATTTTAACTATAGATTCACTTTAATGTCCCTTTACTGAATTATCCTATTTACCTACCCTGGGTTTTTATGTTCTTTTGGAATTATAGGGGTTATTACATATTTGATTTTTGTGTAACATTGACTCAGAAAGACAACCTCTGAAACACATTGGCCAAGTCACACTGCTCACACACTAAACTGTAGTGTTTCAGTGTGTGGCCAGTGCTCTGTTCCAGCTGCAAAGAGCTGGCTGTAGGGGGCGGTGGTATGCGCATTTTACTATGCAGACTTCTTTTTTTTTTATCAAACTTTATTTGATGTGCACAAAAGTGACATTTCATTTATGTCACTGTACAGCAGTGTGGTGCGTTGTGCTAATGTACAGTGACATGCGATGCCTTCCACTGCCCTGCAATAAAATGCAGAATGTCTGCATTATTGCAGCTTACTGCACCGCATCTGTGTTGCAGCGTGAACAATTGTTTTCTGTGTGTCTTAGTGGTGACAGGCCTTCTTCCAGTGCAGAGAAATGCCAGTCACAGCAATCTACAGTTGCAAGAAAAAGTATGTGAACCCCTTGGGATTACGTGGAGTTTTGCATGAATTGGGCATAAAATGTGCTCTGAATGTTTACATGTTATGTGCAATTAAACCATGGCAACATCTACTGTTTGTGTAGTATTATGTTCAGCAGACTGTGTTCTTCTATTGTTGTGACTTAGATGACGTTCAGAGCACATTTTATGCCCAATTCATGCAAAACTCCACGTAATCCCAAGGGGTTCACATACTTTTTCTTGCAACTTTATGTGAACAGGAACTTGTTTGTATGATTTGTGGAAAGCAGAAGCCATTGTTACCTAAGTAACTTGATCCCTAATAGCTATACCCAGGTTTAACAACCTCAAATGAATGCACATGCTGAATAAAGCTTGTACTACATGCAGGGGCGGACTGACCATTTGGAAACTCGGGCACTGCCTGAGGGCCCGGGGTCAGTAGGGGGCCCCATGAGATGCCCCTGGTACCTTTTTCATAGGCTTTTTTGAGTTTGGGCAAGGACACAGGGGCCCCATGATCCCCTATTGAGGGCTCGGGTCAGTAGGGGGCCCTGTGAGATGCCCCTGGTACCTTTTTCATAGGCTTTTTTGAGTTTGGGCAAGGACACAGGGGCCCCATGATCCCCTATTGCCCGGGGGCCCCATGAGTTTTCAGTCCGCCCCTGACTACATGGGAAGGAGGCATGAAGTAGTTGATATAAGTGAAGGACATGGCAACAAAGTACCCCCTTGAATCCCTCTGATATACAGTGCTTCAAAGGATGTTCTTGGCTCCTTTGTCACTGCACCAAGTATTACTTCCAGTATTGCTCTGTTCCTTCCTGGAAATAGTGACGCCACATCACCTACTTGGAAATGCAAATCTGCTGTAGTCAACTGTTTTTATTCATTGATTTTTCAGCATAAAGGCCAGACTGTTTGCTTTTCTTTATAAATTCATGCACCTAAACTTTTAAGAGACCTGAAACAGTGCTGTATTGAAAGTGGTACCTGCTTTACTTATCCCGGAACTGCTTGCTGTTGCTTTTATGAAGATGCAATAAATGATTATTTTTGAATATCTTGTTCTCTGTGCCATCACTAAGTATTATTAGTTTATTCCCATCCAAGACTCTTGAGAAGAACCATAGTTAAAGTGAGTGTGTACTTTGTCAAGAATGGTTCACTTCACAGCAGGGATTTTAAACAGCCAGTACTTACCTTTCCTGTGCCTGCTCACTACCCTAATCTGTTGCCACAGTGTCCAAGATCCTAAATACTACAGGAACATTGTACTGTTAACAGCAGACCATTATAGTATGTGCCCCCAGAAGTCCGAATAAATAAATGCTATTTTTATAAAGGAAAAGCATTGGTCATATATGATTCACATTAAATAATTGTGTGTTCCTATCTGAGATATATGTATATTTGCATAGTTTGGGTCTTTGTATATTTGTTTGTTGGGTTAATTCAGTATGCAAGCATTTAAGTTCACTAACCTCTTTCCCAAAGGCTTCCCAAATTGAATACCCAGACAGCTTGTCACATCAGGATATTCTGATGACCAAACAAGAGAAATCTACAGATCATTGATATTGATTCAATCAATTAAAGAAAGCAGATGGGGCCACCCATGTTTCCAGTCTTTAGAGACTAAATTCTGCAGTGCTGGCCAAACTGACAGTTATTGTAAGTTTATTTATTGTGCATGACCTGTTTTGAAGAGTCACTCTGTTAAATACTATTTGCACCCAAAATGGCAACTTAAAAAGTTAAGTTCATCCCTGGGCAAAAGAATTTTTAATTTCATTACCTGGTGCAGCATTTTAAACTCGTTTAAGTCCACCATCCAAGTCCGTCACCGGAGGACCAGTAATCTGCAGTTCTGCAGATGTACCAGCACTGGCTGGTCCCGGACAGTCCCCTTGTCCTGATGTAATTGCCTGCAGAATTTCTTCTGGATCCAGAGAGAACCCCAATGCTGAACAACCCATAGAAAGTATTTATATCATGTAGGCAGTGACATGGGCATGCAAAGAAGGACCTTATCTCCTGTAAACAAAAGCTAAAAATATCACGTGACCACAGATAATAGGCTTCTGTCAAATCCCAATTCTCATTACTGTCATGTGCAAGGTCAAAGCAGGGTTTATGTATTCCAGCATCTTTTACATTTTCTAAACTACTGTTAATGCTACATTATCAATTAATAAAAACAGACTAGTATCTGTTAAAAAAAAATGATGAAAGGGAAACCTGACCTGCTCCCCATTCGCTGCTTTCCATGAAATGCATGGCAATACCAGCAACTCTAGACTCTCCAGCAACAATCCCTTATGATGCTAGTGGCACCCCTCTAGTCCAGATCCCGGCATCCCTCTGGTGGCGAATGTGTCATCACGGTTCCACTCCAAAATCACGGTAAGCTCTGAACATAAACAGCATCTACAACTCAGCAGTCCACCAACTGTCTCTCCTCACCCACCACATGAGACTTTCCAAGTCCAGGCTTTTCTTTCCTTTTCCTTCTCTTTCTAGCACACATTCCTCCTGGGACTTGTACTCCCTTAGTGTAAAGTCTCCAGGTAGAGACTACATCCCTCACAATTCCCTGCAGCTCCAAGCAGTAGGATTTCTATTTCTCTCCTATAGCTTCTGAACATAGGTCAACACAGTCAATGAAAAAACCCTGGTTTACTGGTTTGTTAGGGCAGATGTATTGCACATCAATCCACCTTAACATACATGCACCTTTGCTGTCCTGTAAAATGAGTAAGAACCTCAGTGCTGGGTGTGTTTCCATGTTGTTTTCTTGTTCCAGTGGCAGCACTAGCAGGTTATTGTATAGGGAAGTGGCAAATTTCACTGTCACTTGGTATATCAGCAGGGTCGGACTGACCATTTGGAAACTTGGGCACTGCCCAAGGGTAGGAGGCCCCATGAGATGCCCCTGGTACCTTTTTCATAGGTTTTTTTTGAGTTTGGGCAAGGACACAGGGGCCCCATGATCCCCTATTGCCCGGGGGCCCCATGAGTTGTCAGTCCGCCCCTGTATATCAGAACATCTTTCTCCACTTGTCTTCTTTACAGATGTCTTACATGAAGAGAACTAAGCATGCAACCTGGCTGAGCTACCTCAGTCTCATCATGTGTTGCCTCAATGAGCTGCTGAGTGAGGGATACAGAAAAATAAATCTTCCCCAGGCATGTCCAGGAAACTAGGTATTTTTGAGAAAAGAAGTTAAAAGGGTCAGTGCCTGCATCTCAGCACAGTGAGTAAATAGGCTCTCTGCTATAGGCATCAAGAGAACCTTTTAAATATTATCAGCATTGCAACAGTCACCACCATTTGCTGGATGTGTACAAATTTGACTTTTTTTTCTGTACAGCTACAGAGCTGTCAATTTCTAGAGCATTCTGCAAGCAGTTCCACCCTCACTCCATTTTAGAATTCTGCCATACACTGCACAAAGACAGAACAGCATAGAGGAGTTCAGTGCTGGAGTGAAGCCAAGGCCTATATGGAGAGTTTGCTCCTCTAGGAGCAGGAAAAAAATAATTTGTTTCTTAAATGTACTTACAAACACCTTGTTATGCCTGCTCTTATGCTATAATATTATCTATGCAACATGTACTGTATTTACATTGCAGGCTTAGGCCCCACTCCAGGAAAATATGCCTTCTTCCCATACCCCTCTAACCCATCCTGTAGGTTATATTCACCTTGGTCCCCATCCAGGTCCCTGGCTGACACCATTTCCGTGTGCAGGGGACTGTTGGATGGTCTCCTACTGTCCCCTTGCAATGTCATCACCTCTCTTTTGGATCCTGAGAGCACTCCACCTCTGTACAACCATTAGGAAGTGTCCATGTAATACAGGCAGTAACATGGATACCCAAAGAAATACCCGCTTGTGTAGACAAAGGAAGACAGAAGACTTGGGGATAATGTGACTGTAGCTTAAGTAAAATGGTCATTTATATAACTTTTTTTTAAATTATTATTTCTGGGGATTAGGTAGAGGGGGATGGGGGTAGTTATTCCCAGAAATGTAAGGTTTATGGCTGCATATCTGTAGTGTAAGATCACACTAGATTTGAGCTTTCTCCACCTCTCCTGCTTCTGCTTGATTATTCCTCCCCATTCAGTCATCATACCACCAGCAACCAGAAGAGAAGCTGAAACCCTGCTCCTCTGCTAAGATGGCCACCTCCACAAAGAGACACAGTACAGAACATGGCATGGGGAAAGTCAATATTGGGGAATAGAGGGGCTGCAGGGAGGCCAATGGGAATACTGGTGATACGTTCTTTGCTCTCTGCCTGCCTTTTTCGAGTACAGCTTTCACAGCACAGGTCCTCTTTAATGTCATCCTTCCAGTATCCGAAAACCATAATTACTGCGAGATAGGAATATTTTTATAAGTTTCTTCTATATGTGGTCATAATAATTAGCGCATTCATGAACAAGAAATAACACAGCTTAAACCTTTGTATCTTTTATTTTCTGAAAATGATAATTCCAATAAGATCAGCCACATGAGGCCCTTAAAGGAATGCATTTTGGCTTACCTTGAATTGTTGTGCAATTGTACATTTTATAAGAAAGGTCAGTTACATAAGGCAACCATTTGTGAGAAACCATACAGGACATGAAACATTTCTTTTTCCCAGAATAATCTGTATATTGCTCGTGTTTCTTGTGTTTATATTAATGTCCAAGAGGAATTAGAGGCAAGCTATAATAGCCACACTCTGTATATATTATACAGCAGAAGGGGGGCTCATGCTCCCTTGAGGCGCCCACCTCAAAGCATCTCCCAGGAATCTTGTTTTGACATTCAAGCATTAAGGGTCTGAATGTGATAGCCCCAAAGCCAAGGTCCCTTTGATCAGTCGGCACATAACTGTGTAGATAGACAGACTGTATATATTAGTCACAAAATTAATTTTATTGCAACATGGGACACCACTTCTCTTATACCCTCCAAAAACTGCTTAGATTCCCATCTTATGTAATAGGTTTCATATCAAGTCAAAGTGCAGTGAGGATGAGACTTAGAGAAAAGGCACTCTCTAACCCTTGGATGACACTGATAAGAAGTCTTTGCAAATTACTTGTGAAGTTTGCCCTTGTTGCTGCACAGGTTAAAAACTGTGTAAAGATTTCATAGGTCGCTACGTACTGAACTACACAAGCAACAGAACACTGCATGTAGGGACTGTAGAGAAATGAGAAAGGCATTATTCACCAAAGAATAGTCTATTAAATAAAATATTTGTTTAATAGGGTACAGTGTTTCAAACATTACCAACTGTTCAGGCTTACAGCTAAAAATAATTAAATGTATTAGGTATGCATTAATGCCTCTGTTAATATCTGAATAAAACCACCACAGCAAAATTTGTTGCAAATTCTGTTCTTCAAGAGAAAAAATATACCTATCAACAACGATGTTAAACAATAAATGGTAAAGTTTTACAGTATATAGGCACCCTATATATCATTGCTTTTTATTTGATACAATAAACATATTGTACATAACCAAGCCTGTATATCAATGTCAGAATGGGCATCCATAAAAGGGTACTATTAGGTATTTGCCTGTATATAAAAGTCCATGCCACAAAGAAGATTTTGTGCATGTAAATGAATACCACAGAACAGAATACCTAGAGCATGCTTGTATATTGAAATGCAGTAAGAGAAAACTTGCAGATGAGGAAGGAAAATAAAATGCTGATGTGAAATTAAAGCAGTTATAGACATGTTTTCATTGTTGAGAATAAAGTAGTATTTTAAGTAAAAAAAATAACTGAATATTCTACCTTTAGTTTATTTGAATTTCTACTTTTTTATCTAACAAGAACAAGAAAGATTGATTAGACCTGTCGTTGTTGTGCCCTATGATTCTTCTTCATGACCATTATCAAATAAATATAGCAAAGGTGTTTTTATGTAACTTTCCTTTTTTTGTTATGGCTCTTTTGGCCATATTTCTTATGTGGGTCACAGGAGTGCACTTGATATGATATGATCCAAACAGTTCATGTGCTGACAAAAAGCATGTTGATAGAAAGAGAGAGCAGAGTGACAGAAAAATAAGCTTATTGCTGTGCTGCTTCTTCTTTCATTGTCCAGTATCAGTTTAAGGAGGTTCAAGATGACCTGGGCTCTGTGGAAGTAGTTTAATGATGCTAGTTATCAGACTAAGGACATCTAATGATTAATGTAAAGTACTGCAGGAGAAATCTCTGGATTGAAGGTGAATAAAAAAGCTGATTTGTTATTTTATCTTTTATTTGGCTATTCATTTCTATCTTGTTATATTTTACTTTTAAAGGACTGAAAAACATTTGTGAAAATCAGCTACAGTGTCTGCTTTTATGACATGAGGCCTCTCTGCAAAAAAACATAATGGCAAGAATATTGTAAATAAACTAATATGGCATTTCCCCATGTACTATAGCCTCTGCTGGTAATACACTGATGATGATGCTTGCATTATACTTGAACTAATAAAGAGAAACACAATCTCCAGCTGCCATATAAGTATCCCAATCACAGAATGGTTAACATATCTGTGCTTGGCTGCATGCCCCATTCATGGAATCTGTCATTGTTAACTTAAAAATAGCTGGGGTTAAAAGCAGAAGTGGATGAATTTAAAAAAAATAAACATGCATACGTACCTACCTATTGCAGCATCGATCCAATGGGCAAGCTGTCCCCTGTCTAAGTCAGAGAACTGAGCAATCATGTGACTACTGATCACTCAGGTTTTGAGCATGGCCTGAGCACTGTCAGTCACCACTCTGTGCTCTGGAGTGCTGGGCAGGACAGGGGGTGGGAGTAACTGGATCAGGCTTTTGGGTGCATCCAAAAATTATCATAGGGATCTCTCTAGAGCCTGGAGCGGCTCTATGACTGTGATTCTGGGTCACAGGAGAGCAGAATTAAGTGCACTCCTGTGACCCACATGAGAAATATGGCCAAAAGAGCCATAACAAACAAAGGAAAGATACATTAAAAAACCTTTGCTATATTTATTTTGATAATGCTCATTAAGCAGAATCATAGGGCACAACAATAACAGGTCTCATCAATCTTCCTTTTTCTTGTTAGATAAAAAAGTAGAAATTCATATAATCTAAAGGTAGAATATTCAGTTATTTTTTTTTAAATTAAATCTCTTAATGAAGTTAAAGTTTATTATACTGTTGAATTAATAAGATGGTAAGATATTACAGATTGCCCTAGAGAAGCTTGCAAATGGATTATCAATCCTAGGTTGGAATGAAACATCTGAAGTATTGTTGTAGCAATGACCACCTAGGGATCTGTTGAGTTTAACAGGCTCTCCTAGCATTTCTACTGGTGATTTGCCCTATAGTTACACCCAAACACTTAGTGACTCATCAGCAATGACTGCCAATCTTCTTTTTGCAGATTTTACTAGCTCAAATATTTAGGCCGCAGGGGTCTCCAAACTATGGCGCTCCAGCTGTTGAAGTACTAAAAGTCCCATCATGCCTCTGCCTCTGGGAGTCTTTCCTGTGGCTATCAGAGCCTTGCAAGGCCTCATGGGACTTGCAATTCCTCAACACCTGGAGGTCCATAGTTTAGAGACCCTCTAAGGGATAGAGGGTTGGGAATACAGGATCCCCAAAACACAAATTCCCTTCACTCTGTAGTATCTTCTGACCTTTGCCACAAGCCAAGATTGAACTATCTTGCCTCTGCCACATGGTAGCATAAAATTGGTATGCCAGACAGAAAGCTACCTTCAAGTATCCTTAGTCCCAATCATAGACTAGTTGTGGACATTTAACCAAAGACTCTTCTACAGATTCCTTTCCCATGCAGTAAGCCTGAGAAACATGAACTAGATTTGTCTGGATATATACATTCACAGGCCACTTTATTAGGTACACCCAGGGGCGGACTGACCATTTGGAAAGTCGGGTACTTCCCGAGGGCCCGGGGTCAGTAGGGGGCCCCATGAGATGCCCCTGGTACTTTTTTCATAGGCTTTTTTGAGTTTGGGCAAGGACACAGGGGCCCCATGATCCCCTATTGCCCGGGGGCCCCATGAGTTGTCAGTCCGCCCCTGGGTACACCTGTTTAATTTCTTGGTGACACAATTTTAATAATCAGC